TTCATTGGATTATGAGTAATAAATTTTCTGAGTTGTTATGTTTAATAGAATACCTCTGTCAACCATAAAATCTACCAGAACTATCACGACCATTAACTTGTCAATCCGCTTCAATAGGATGGCAGGTCCACTAAAACTATCACGTTAATGGTCACCTCTGATAGTCTGCTTTCTCCAAATTCCCCCACCAATCCTCTTCAAATAGGATGGCGGGTCTATCAAAACTATCACGTTAATGATTACCTCTGATAGTCCATTCCCTCCAAATTCTCTTGTTAATCCTCTTCAACAGGATCACAAAACTATCACAGTTACCTCTGATAGTCAAACTCATCAGATAATGGCCTACCAGGTGATGTGCCTCTATTTCGACTTTATGGATAGTGCCCTCACTAGGCGATGTGCCTTGTCTACCTCTTTTTCTTCCCCTACTAAGTCTTAATCAAGACTGGGGGTTGGTTACTTGGAATCCACTGGATTAAGAGTAACGAATCTTTCACATCGTCGAGTTAACATTACACTTCTGACGATCATCATCCCCACGGAGTATGCATTCAACTTGCATCACTCCCAATTTGTCACGTTAACAATATACCTCTGACAACAATCAATACACCTCTGACAATCAACTTATCAATCCTTGCCAATAGGATGATAGGTCCTCAAAATTGCTCAAATCGCAATCTTCCCCAGCAAGACAATAAGTCTTCAAAATCGAATTCAAATCACAGGTATCAAAACTCATTGTTCCTGATGATAAATTCACCTAGCAAGTCTCCCTAGCGAGACGCTAATTCCCAAAATCTTGTGCAAGTCACAAGTACATAAATCTGTCACGTTAACATCAAACCTCTGACAATTCACTTATTAATCCTCGTCAATAGGATGATAAGTTCACAAAGTTGCTCTAATCGCAACATCCTCCTGTCACGTTAACACTAAACCTCTGACAATCCACTTATCAATCCTCGTCAATAGGATGATAAGTCCACAAAGTTGCTCCAATCACAACATCCTCCTGTCACGTTAACATCAAACCTCTGACAATCCACTTATCAATCCTCTTCAATAGGATGATAAGTCCCCAAAGTTGCTCTAATCGCAACATCCTCCTGTCACGTTAACATCAAACCTCTGACAATCCACTTATCAATCCTCGTCAATAGGATGATAAGTCCACAAAGTTGCTCCAATCGCAACATCCTCCTGTCACGTTAACATCACACCTCTGACACAATCCACTTATCGACTCTCTCTAATAGAGCGATAGGTCCTCAAAGTTGTCCAAAATCCACTTATCGACTCTCTTCAATGGAGCGATAGGTCCACGAACCAGTCAAGTTAACATCACACCTATGACGACCAAATCAACTTATCGACTCTCTTCAATAGAGCGATAAGCCCATAAAATACTGTTAGGTTAACATCACCCCTCTAACAGTCAACCCCCCCCCCCTAATGAACTTGTTAATCCTTTTTTCCAACAAGAATAGCAAGTTTTCATTATAAAATCCCCAGCAGATTAAAGATTTTCTAGAATTATCCTAGTGATAATAAAGAAAATTTCTGAATTTCACTCTAAGTGAAAACTCATGCCAAGTTAATATTACACCTCTGGCACTTCTAATTTTCTTTCAGTGTTTCAAGTAAAAATATAACACAGGAAGAAATAGTAACAAAGCCTACGTATTCAACATCGTAGCGCCAAAATCCATGCCTCACATGCATGGGGAATTTTATCCCGAATCCTAAGTAGGGATAAGTCAACGCCTAACACGCATTGCCGGTTAGTCTTTCACCGTAAAAAAGGACAAAAGTCTACGTATTCAACATCGTAGCAGGTTGTTATTAATAACACCAAAATCCATGCCTTACACGCATGGGGAATTCTATCCCGAATCCTAAGAAGGGATAAGTCAACGCCTAATACGCGTTGCCGGTGAGTCTTTGACCGTAAAAAAGGACAAAAAACCCATGTATTCAATATCGTGGCAGGTCGTTATTAATAACGCCGAAATCCATGCCTCTAAGAGGGTTCATTCTCTTAGCGCAACGTTACATGTGGAACGGACTTAGACAATCCCCATGCTAGCCCGATTCAAACGGTAGTCGGTAAAGGCTTATCAAATCCGTTGATGGCTGAGGGTTTGCCAAAAATCCTATGCAGGTTTTCAGGCCCACCAGCTTAATGGACGTGAGCCAAGACTTGAAACGAATAAGCTGAAGACAAGTCTCAAAGACTTAGTCAAAAATGCATGAAAGTCACCTCCGCGTTTCAAGTCAAAATGCCGAGGTCAGACCCGCGATGCAAAGACGATAACGCCAAAGTCATAGTCGCGTTTCAAGTCAAAATGCTGAGGTCAGACACGTGATGCAAAAACCGAACACCGAGGTCACGCCCGCGTCTCAAGTTCAAAATGCAGGGTCCACCCCCGCATTCCAGAAGCAGGATTATGATGCATACCTTC